TAATCTAAGTAAATTATAGTAATAAACTTAACACTTAAAGTTAGTATTAAAAATTTGGTTAATAAATCTTAAAAATCTATGATAGGGTCTAAGGAAACTAAAAACAAGAGAAGGAATATGTAGAGGAATTAAAAAATAGAAATTTTTCCCTCATCTATGGGTATAATACATAATCTGGAAAACATTCATAAGTTGAAAGTTAACTTAGAAATTTATTTATTTATTTATAATATGCATTCATTTTCAAACTGGAACCAGGGGGGGTTTTCTTTTATATTTTTCACAATATTGATCTATTATCTTTTGGATAACTTGTGAAATGTCTTTCATCTAATCAGTTATTGATTTTTAAACTCTCTTTATTAGAGAACCTTTTTCATTATTAGTATAATCAATAATATTTTTTAACCTTTTGGGGAAGTCTTAATGGAAACTTTCAAGATGGTCTAGAATGTGCTCTTTTGTCATAAGTATACCATGTGTAATGCACTTTCTCCATTGGTGTTTCCATACTTAAAAATATTAATACCCAGGGATTCTTCATATCATTAGGTAGTTTGTTTTTCTTAAGATTTTTTCAGATCTTTCTTCTTCTTTATCCAAGTATTCAACTCCTTTCTGAATGTCTTCTACAAAGGATTCGATTTCTTAATATTCATTTATAAATTCTGGATTTCGATATATGAATTATAACCAAAGATGAGGGCCATTAGAATAGCAGGTTTCTTCCATAGGTTGATCCAGATTTTTATCAATTAGTTTTTTGGCGAATTGATAAAAGTAAACAAGGGTTTGATGATCTTGAAATTGAACTTTTCTTTGGATTGTGTCTTCTTTTACAACTTTGAAATGTTAAAGTATAAATTTATATTTAAATATTCTTTAGTTCATTGAATCTAATTATATTTTCTCCCATTATTGACGAAAATAAGTTTGATAATGATTAATAAAAATATTTTAAATAATAAAACGCTTAAACCTGATATTTTTTTATTTAAAATAAACCTATTTTACTTCTAAATTTATATTTTTTTTAGGAAAGAATTTTAGATTATATTTATTTAGTAAGCCCTTAATAATTTACAAAAGAATCCATAATCTTGGCTTTATGATTAATCTATTGAATAATTATCAATCATCACTTTAAATAATAAAGAAAAGAATTTGAATGAGGTGCTTCTAGAAAAGATATTTTCTTTGAAAAAAGAAACAAAAAAATTTTATCACTTAAGAATGTGTTTGCTTATCTAAATCAATAAAATTTATCCAAAAAATTTATCCAAAATATTATATCTAATGATGATGAAAGGATTGTTATTGAAATTTGAATAAATTAGCCTAAAAATTAAGTATATTGTTAAAAAATACATAAAAATGATAAAAATAATTAAGATGAAAATGTATAATTTGAGCTTAGTTGGTAATAAGATACCTACTTCTTATGAATTCTTTAGTAAATTAATCTAAAATGCGCTCTGTAATTTTCTAACATTTAGATTGGGAGAAAAAGAGTAGATTAATTAATTACTATTTCATAAAAAAATTATTTCAGGCAACATATCATATTTCAAATTAGAAAAGCAATTTGGATGCTTTCAGTTGTCTCTTAGATTTATAATTGGAATTTAGTTGCTTAATTAAATATGTCTTGAATTTAATCTGATAATCTTGGATATTGAAAGCCTAGAATTGAGAGGAAAATAAAAATCCCTTATTAATAATTCAATTTAAATTGCTTTCATATCATAAAAAAGGTGAAAAAAATGATTTTAAAATCCTAAAAATTATAACTCCTACTTAATAATTACACTTTTATCTGCCTTAAATAAAATTGCCATTTCAAAAATACTCTTGTAGTATTTTAAATAATATCACTGCTATTTATTTTATTAACTTTAAGTTTTTGGTCTAAGATCAAAGGCTTAATGGAAAATTTTAAATACAGAATGCTTATTTCTAAGTAAATTGATGAAGTTTGATATGATAAAATCTTTTCAAAATTAATAACTTTTAAAATTTATGATAGAATCTTAATTTATTCTACATTATCAACAGTTTTTCTCATAGTTAAATACCAGACAAGTTATTTTAAGTATTAAGATCATTTATAAATAGCCAAGACCTTTTTCTAATTTCTATATATTCGTTGACTAAATTTCAATAATTTTAATATTAAAGTAAGAATAGCAGAATAAAAGTTTTCTAAACATTTAAAGAAGTATGAAACAAAATGAGTGATTGAGATGTCAAAATATTGAATATGATATTAATGTATTTTGAATCTGTATATTTATAAATATTCATTTTTAATTTATAGCTTTTAAACATTCATCTAAATATTTTATATTGATAATACCTTTTCTGTCTCTAGTCCATTAATTGTTTGGATTGATCATTAATGCTTTTTCATAAAATATTAAAGCTTCTTAATATTAATTCTAAACTTGTAAACATTTACCTATAAATTAAAAAGATACTTTCACCTTTTGCCCACAATGAATCAAAGTGATTTGGATTAATTTATAGAGATTACTCAATCACTTCCATAGATTATTTAAACATTTTCAATTATCTTAATGAATTACCTTCAAATTAAAAATAATTAGTACTTTTGGTACATAATGAACTACAATCTTTTGGATCTACTTATAATGCTTTATCTGCCCAAATGATTGCTTCATTGTATTAACCAAGCATCCTTAAACTCGCAGCTAACACATTAAATAATAATCATACCTTTACAAAATAATGAATTACAATCTTTTGGATCTACTTACAATGCTTTATCTGCCCAAATGATTGCTTCATTGTATTAACCAAGCATCCTTAAACTCGCAGCTAACACATTAAATAATAATCATACCTTTACACCATAATGAAAGAGAATGTTTTGGATTAAAAATTAATGATTAATCAAATATTTTAATTGCCTCTTTATAATTATCATCATCCAAATATAGTTTATAACCTAATTTAATAGATTTATTACCTTTTTTATATAATTCTTCTGATTTATTAATATCTAAATTAGATATTTGATAATAATTTAATTCAGTTAATTTTAAATCAGATAATAATTTTACAATTGAATCTTGAAAATCTTATATTGATTATTTGATTAATATTAAGTTTGTTTATTCAAATGATTTGAATTTAATACTTTATGCAAAGAAAGAATTCATTTATTTAGAATCTAAGTTAATGAATTATTGTTTAGATTTCTGATATTTTGATCTAATTCCTCCAATCAATAAATAGAATTATTAATAAGCCATATCCATTTATTTATTCAAATCTATAATTAAGTCTTCACATAATTTTCAATATTTAAAATATGATCAAACAAAAATGGTAAATCTTATTAATGTTAAACATGAGAAACATGAATTCCATTTTATATACATTAAATGCATTATAATCTATCTGCTTTACAAGATTCATTAAAACATACTAATTTTACATTATTGACATGTTCTGAATTTGGGCATTTGATATTAGTATCATTCTTTTCATTCATAATTAATATTAATATTAAATCTTTTTTCTAATTCTATTAAAATTATATATAAACTCATTATTATTAAATTATAAATTTCTATTAATACATTAATATATTAATAAATTCAATTCAAATATATACATTATTATGCTAATAAATATTTAAAATATACTAGATTGGAATGTTTAATAAGAATGACGGGTTTAAGGTTTAATATATATCAAATTTAAATTAAATAGAGTGTATAT